TACCAATAGGTTTTGCGGTAGAACACGCAAAACTTATATGTTTCGCAATCAGCGCCTGATTATGCTCTCGAAAAGAAACTAGAAAAGGGCATTATCAAATGAATACTCGAAGCGTCTTCATTCAACCGGTTTGCCGATGTAAACAGTGATGGAAAACCTTTTATAGCCATCTCATCGCTGAAGAAGTTGGTCATTGAAGACCTAAAGACGTGAAACAATGGCCACGGCGCCCAGCATTACCATTGGTGGAGAAAGATCGAAGAAAAAACCAAAGGGTCAAATGAAAACCAAAGAGAGAAAAAGTGTAATTCTCTGGAGACAAAGCATACCTTGGCATGTAAACTGTGAAGAACATTGGCTCTTTTATATTGCTGCTTGGCTGAACCATCGGACAAATCTCGAATGTTATCAACTTGACGTTCCACATGTTACAACAATAAACACGTGTGACGGATGATAGTCCAACAATGGACAGAAGGGCTATCAAAAGACTTCCAAAAAAGATACTTTATGATTCACAACAAAGCATCAGCCAATTAACATTACTACATTAATAGAGAAAACATAACGAAAATTGGAAGAATCAAAAAGTCTGAACCAAAACTTACAATCCGCTTAAATAAGGTACAATCGTTAAATTAGAATTAAAAATCAAACATGCATCTCAGACATGAGCTTCAGTTATAGGAAATATGGCACTCTCGTTCTGTGTATCATTCAGTTTGGGATTTATTTTTTCCTCTTGAAACTTCACAAAACTCTCTCGTATCTTGCTGCTGTTTTCTGCTGTTACTCCAGCCAATGTTGCTTTTTGAAACTGGAACAAAAAATTTCATAAAAAACTTAAAAGATTAACGAACTTCATCGGTCATGGTATTCCAAGATATCGCTTTCTCTATTATTTGTAGCATTGCTCCAATGCAAGATATTCCGCTGTCCCATTCTTTAGCTGATCGACAGAACATAGGATACAATAACTAAACATTCCGACTTTCACCCGATTTTCTCTAATATGTATTACCACTGTTCTGATGGTAGGATCGGCAAATGCTTCTTTCAAACCACAACCAATACCATTTCGAACCATACGATCGAGGCCCGAATCCTCAGAATAGCACTGATCCATTCTATTCACCACAATCAAACCTAACAAGAAAAAGTAGAAGTCATAATTCATAAGCAGGAAATTACTTGATTTTCCCATTCGTCGATAAACTGCTGCGAAATCAGGGTTGATTCTTGTTCGCGTGGCCAACTCTGTTCTGATATCCTCTTCGTTTTTTAGTAAGTATTTTGCGGCTTCAGAGACTGTAAGCAAGAATGAGTTACAAGTTATTATTTATATCAACCTGGTCTGCCCATTATACAGTCAACGACGATGGCATCGAAGCCTTCACTCTCAAGCAAATCCATTACGGAAGAATCTGAGACATCAACTTTTTCCAAGAAAAGTCTAGCATATTCTGAAAACGATCAGATATGCATTGTCTCCCAGTATTAAACGTACTTTCTTCCCTAATTTTTCCTATTCGACTAGTATTAAATGATATATCAGCTATACTGCTAGTATTTGACACTGAAAAAGTTGAATTATTTTTGTATTCAGTGTTCAGAAACCACTTGTATCAATATTACTATGACGACGATCTCTAGGTATAGATGGACGCTCTTTCCCAGTGTCAGTTTTCGTTCGTTTCAAATTATGACTGCCCGCTACCTCACTGAGGTTACTTCCGGAAACTCTCCCTGAACAAGACAATCGGTTGTCGTTTGTTCTTACTGTATTCAAAAACTCACGATCCAAAACAAAACCGAGTACTGAAGACACTCTTTTCTGGATACTAGAAGAACTCGGCGTAGTTCGACGTAAAGTAACAGTTGGACGAACAGGAGTTCCATCATTACCGTTAGGGGTTGCTAATACACAATCTATGTTTGGTGTTGGGGTAGTCAAAGACGACCGGCGCCGAGCCCCACCAAAAACCTTTGATTTAGAACTACTAAGCCATTTTCTTGTACTGCTTCTCTTGAATAATATAGTTTTGGCATGGCTTTTAGACCTCTAGTACCTTTGAAGATGGTGGAGGCATCATTGATTTGTCAAGAATGGGAGTGGAAGGTGTGGTACAGCTAGTATGGTTGGCCGAGTTATGGGGCGACTGAGAGGCTACGGTAATTCGAAAACCAAATATTTTAATACCTCATCAATGTCTTTTTCTTCTGGTAAATCTGCCATACTTCCTGACATCTTATGCATGAGTCTCATGGATCTTCGCCGTAAGAATCCACTCGGTGATGTGAGAGAGTCAGATAGCGAGGATGCAGCACGTCGAATAGCGCTGTGAGTATCAGACATTATAAATATCAAAATCCAAAGAAAAAATTCTACCTATTGCATAAACTATTCACAAGATCAGATTCTCCTGGCATGCTTCGTGAACTGGATCTGATGTGTCCTCTATTGAACTCACCCCTTGCAGGAGTGGCTAACAGAGAGACCGCATCATACGACATACGTGAATCAAATGAAGAAGCAGAAGTGTTAGTCATCTAAACTTATCACGTTTCAAAGCTCTAATATATCTTGCAATGTTACCGAAAAAACCTCACTCGGCTCTCTCTCAGAGTTTTCAACAAAGCGAAGAAGATCAGTATTTTTGTGGAAAGGAAGAGGCAAGTTCTCTACAGAATCTTGGCTCTATAAAATATAGAGTAAGATGCGATAATGAAACCAAAAAGCATACAGATTCACTGAGACAAGATACATCTGACCCTTGTGCTTCCGGGACAAAGAAGCTTGATAATTTCGAAGTAGACTGAGCTTTATTACGATCCTAAAAGTTTATTTTGACTAACCAAACGATCAACAAGTATACCTTAAGAGCTGAAGAGCTCCTTAATTTCTTCAAAAATCCACCAATCAAGCTTTTTCTTCTCTCTTTTTCAGGAGGTGGAGCAATTACATTCTTAAATTCATAGTAGACCAATGCGTAAGAGTTTGAGAACGAACCTCATGGTTATCATACCAAGGTCTTTCTTTTTTATTTGATGGTGGTGCTTCGCACCCTGTATCCAACTACACAAAAAATGCTTTCAAAAACGAAAAAATTGCAAAATGATTACCTGATTTGTCGACTTCCGCTTCTTCTGAATTGAATTCATTGTTAGTACATGTAGTTTTACTTAGTTAAAACAGGGAGCCCAGGAGAACTGTAATCGGTTATAAGAAAATGGAAGTTGAGAAAAAACAACAAAAAAATGGAAAAAAAAACAAAAATCAACGTAAATGGACTGACTTTTTTTTGAAAAAAACGAAAAAAAACGGCAAAAACAACTGAGCGTTCCCTTCAGATGGAAGTACTGTATTCCAAACAATTTCTGTCTAATGAAGAGAGAAATTTGAAAATTTCGATGTAATGAGGTAAGATTGAAGAATTGAGCTTTACTGTAGATCACAGTCTTAAGGAGGGCTCATTTGTATATTGATCGAATTGCCACCACCGATCCACAAAAAAACGCTCTAGTTCACGCTCGTTCAAATATTTTTTTTCGCGCGAAAACTTGGGTATTGCTGTTGGGTCACACCCCAGTCCTAAGTATGGTCACACCTCTTATAGCTATCACCTCTTAAGATTTCAGAGGAGTCAACAAAGACTTGACAGAAAATATCATAACCCGGAGTCATTTACGAGGTTGGAAAATGTTTATTAGGTTATTAATTTACACGAATTGATATAGAGATCATAGTTACATCTCCGCTTGCATTTGGTAAAGTATTCCACCGTCTATAACAGTCGGAAGAAAGAGAAGCTTCTTGGTCTCCTGGAAGTGGTTTTCATAAATAAAAGAATAAAGAATGAATACTTACTTCATTATCCACATAAATACGGTTTTCGCCACGAATGGCCATATGAGGAAGCATAAAAGAATGGGAATAGAACGTATAAGCCTAGAGAAGGAGAAAAAGGAAGATTTCTTAGACTGAAATTTTAAATTGTTAGATATAATTCTAAAGAATCATCTAACCTGAATCAATTTTCCCAGCATATGAGCGATAATCCTTAGTTGAAGTGTGTTCGTAGATTCTATGTCATAGAGCTGTCGGCTCAATAACTGAAGTTGTTGATTGATTTGAACTAGTACAGGATAATGGGCAACTTCTTGAAACTATAATTGTGGGAAATTATAAAAAGGATTAAGGGCTAAGAGTTACCGCATAATTCACAGTCCTCCAATCTTCATCAGATTGACTACTTCCACTACGATTGGCTGCCCGTCGTGTTCGGTCTCGTTCTCTCATGGTAGTAACACGACTCCTTGCTCCTGAATACATTAATCAATAAAATTCAGAACCGTATAGAAACCTTCTACTCTAATTTTTTCAATGCTAGAATTTTCACTACTGCTAGATCGCTTGTGTTTGGCAGAATATGCTCTAACGATGGGAGTTAGTATGATACCTTCTGTCTGCGGCCTAGAACATCGAAATAAGGAAGAAGAAATATAAAAAATCCATACTTTTCTCGTTTTAAATGTCGGGCAGCATCTTGACACAGTTTTTCTAATTCAGAATCACTAACGTCCAGAGCATCTTCATATGAAGAAGTCATGCCTACGTCTAGCTCAGCAGATACACTTCTTGAAATGGCTTGCATTCTGAAGATGGCACATGATTAGTTCATAAATCTTAATGATATTCATGGATCATAAATGATGAAGCCTATGATAACGTCTCAAATCAATCGATATGGAAGATAAGTATTACGAATGCTCGAACACTTCTAGAAAATAATGAAAATCACTATAAATCATCAGAAATAATGAGATGATTGCTTTCTAACACTGAGCTAAGTATACGAATAGTCTTATCAATTGTGTTGAATTGAGAAAAACAGTCTATGCATCAGTTTTAGGATTGATAAATGATCAAATCTTTACATAATTTTTATTTTTCATACTTCTTTAAAATCATACTGGCACAATCAAACATCACGCATCAAATTTTGAACTGCAAGAGCTTGTTCTATACTATTGTGCGATAGGCAGATAGAGCAGTCAGCAATCTCATTCTGTATTTGGAGAATATGGATAGGTTGACTCTCTTCATACTCTTATCAGCTTAATAATGGAATCAAAAACGGAACAGAAGATTAAATGACTACAATTTATTCTAAAAAAATTTCTAAAAATTTTCCGAACACTGTAGCTAAGGCTTAGCTATGCTGTGTCGCTTGTTCGTATCAGTTTTGGGAAAATATGATTTGTTCCAAATGATTTTTGAGCAGAAAGAAAACATTATGAGTAAAGACTAGACAGAAATCAGGAGATGGTTAACGATTAACACGTGATTGTTCACATCGAATCTTATTAGGCAGATACATCACGATCTTATTGATACACGACGAACATACGCGGACAATCTTTGATATTATCGAAGATATGCTATATTTATGCAAACTATATACAGATATGAGACAAAAAATGTCGCATAAATGATGCTAAGTCGACATCTGCCCTTAGAATGACCTGAGCGTTGTGTCTACTCTTCATCTAATGCAGATTTATTGATTTATACAACCAGGATCAAGCCGGGAATCAGATGTTGAAACATATAGATGACGGTAAATGGAGAAAAGAGACATCACAATGTATTGTTTATCATTTAATCTTCATAAAGATCATTGAAAAATCAATGAAAAGAACATTAAGGAACCTGTTTAACTTTAGAGAGGAGAGAAGAAAATAAATAAAAGGCTGTATCTTCACGCATATTATCTATTTTAAACTAATAAAATGCATTAGGTGATTGCTCATAGCGCGCAGTATGTGATAGTAGGCATACGACATGAACGAGAAGCTAGAATACAGAAAAAAATTGAGAAAAAAAACAATAAAATAAACAAATTAAAAAGACTAAAACAAGGCACGAGTCTCGAGAAACTGACAGCATACGCGTAGTCAACAAGTCAAGGTAAACACTGACTGCTAGTAGCGGGTATATAATTGAAGAAAGTTTATCAGCCAATCATCTAGTTGAAAGCTATTTTCGATGTGTCTACATCAAAACAGGGAGTCCTGCGACAAGTACGGAACACTTTGAATAAGTGTCATCGTAATCAGAATTATTAAATATTATCTTTCTGTAACTTAAAAAAAAAATCTGAACCATCTTGAATACGCTGCGGTACCAACAGAATCTTTGAAATCATAAATTTACAATACTGCCAAAGTTTCTTTCTCTAATCAATCATAAATTGTACATGTGAAGAGTTATGACGAATCATCATCATCTTCATCATTGAAACTTGATAAAACAAAAAAACATGCCAAAGACAAAAAACATTCAATTTGAACTTAGCAATCATAGTACAGAATGATTAAATATCAGCACTTAAAAAGACCATAAAATTGAGAAGCTGTACGGGTGGTTAAAGTGCTTATTCAGACGATCAAATCGGGGAAGTCTTCCGGAGCCTCCCCCACTTTCAGCTACATATGTACTTTAGAAGGAACCATCTCTCGAAGAAAATAAGGAACATAAAATGAAATCTATCAACAAAACAAATTGCACAGTTAGAGAGGCAGCTCCTGAACAAGTGTCTGAATAGTAGAGAAGCTTTTGCTCATTAGCATACAAGTTTCCAGACACAACACGGAAGCAACCGATCTGCTGTTGCACAAGAACTGAAATGAACTGATTTAAATAATTTAAATGAAATATTGTTATTGATAGTAACACACAATAAACATTCAAATACTCTTCGAGGTAAACAACCGAAGCACTAGGCTGTTATACGGTGATGGTTACAGTCATTCACGTGGTTCTGTACGCTTTAAGCTATTAATAAAAGAGGAGTGTACTGCAATAAATTTACATTAATATGAGCTATGCTAAGTTGTTCTTTTCAACTCAGGAACTATTGAATTACGTTTCAATTGACTTCATTGACTATTTTTTCTGAAAACTGATGCACGTGAGAAAGTACGTGGAATTCGTGAGGAAATTCTGTAAATTAATCATTTTACATATTTTGAATCGTGTAGAGCGGTCGGTTGTTATGAGAGCTTCCGATAATATGGAGCATAAGACTAAAAAAAATTAAATTATTCCTAATAAATTGTATTTTAAATGTAAGCTCGTGAAAGTGCACGCTGTGTGGCTTTCGCAAGAAAATTGTTTTCATGAATAATACTTTATGGTAAGACCTAGAATAAGCAATTAATTGATTTGAATATTAAATGACGAAAGGCATTAAGTAAAGCAATTCGTTAGCTAAAACCTTCTTGAGATTCAATTGACACTCATCCATTGTTTCCATCCATCGTCTCAGTTCTTTTTTTCTTCTTCCGAAACTAAGATCTCATAGCTTTCAGAAGTTACAACAGCGTTCTCCGATGCCTTTAACGCTGTCAGGAAATGACTAAATTCATTCTATGTCTACCAATCTTCAACATATTAACAAATTAATCTTTTCCGTTTTTTTTTTCTGCAACGAAGCCTCCTGATCCGAAGGCTCTCGAATCTCCTTTTTTTATTATTTCAAACATTGGACGTTAGGATCAAGCAGATCATACCTCTCTCATCTAATTTTAATCTTCCCAATCTTATCTAGCTGAAACCAAAAGTCTCGATGTCATTTCTCTTCTGTTGTTTTAATTATGACAATGATGACGAACTGACATGACTGATCACAAGTTAGATGTCAGTTAAAATGATGAGGCGGGTTTAGGTGATTTACACACTTTCAACTCTTTCGAAGCTTCATCCAATTATTGTCGTACATTTCCTTTGATTACTTTTCTATTTTAAATCTCAAAATCAAAATGAGTACGAACACTTGGAATTGAAGCAATCGAAGAGAAATAGACTCAGTCCACAAAGTAATTCAATTGTGCTGACTTGTAAAGAATCCCTTCAGACGGAATCCTCATCTTCATACGAGAGAGACTCCAATAGACTTTTCAATGTTTCGATTTGTTTTGTTTTGTGTTTTGTTTTTTGCTCGTCACCTCTACATTTCAGAATTCTGAAGTATTTATGTCTATGTAATAGATAAATGTGTAAAATAGTTGCTTCTTATAGAATACTTAAACATGCTATTGGGTGGAGAATGTTTTCCCAGCCGATATGATGTGAGTTTTCCTTTTTTTTCTACTTTTTCCTTTTTTGCTTCAAAATTACGTTTAAATATAATGAAATATTCATGCAAGGATCCTTTTTTTCCTTCTTTCCCTTTTCTTCATCAATTTGAAAGTCAGAAAGGTGAAGTCACTCTTTACACCTGTTGCAATGGAACTCAGTTTTATGCTTAAACTATCATATTACGAATGGGGGGATAAGAGATGTGAGAGAAAGCTGGAGTCAAACTTATCACTTTCAAACTCATTATTCAATAATGAATTATCTGCGAAAACTGACTTTCTCTAAAAATCCATTTGTACGCGACATCATTGGACATGTACCATCCGTATCACGTGTAAGCCAATTTACAATTTTTTTTTCTTTTCTTCTCTATCTCAATATATTGCCAATCAATGCTAATGAGGTTGTGTGTTATAGCGATTCTGGAGAATATTTCATTTTTGGCCATTGGTCACATCAACTTCCTCATTGGTGATGAAACATCAAAAGTCTAGTTCGTATCATGCAACTAGATGTGATGTGATTAGATTCATTAAATTCCTTTTGAAACTAATATGACTGAATAGAGCTTAGCTGAAGCTTCATTACTACATAGAATCGATTGTATTAATGAAAATTAGGTTTAAAAAAAAACCAATAAAATACTAGGACTAAGCGAATAATAAGCAGATGGATCATTCGATTTGAAGAGATGTAGCTGAATGATTTCGCTGCTGCTGTTGATAATCAGCTGTCTTGATGAACGGAACGTTCTCTTGAAGTTCTCCTCGTTTGTATGACTCTTTGACATGACATCTAATGAGTCCTTGATTAAAACATCATTTCCTTTTGAATTTTTCGATTTGTGAACTCTCTACCATCATTTGAATATTTGTTTTTCCTTTGCATTATTTATAATTTACTTATTTACATGATAGAATCATATTAGAGGTTGGTATAAATCATTTGATTTGAGACCTACTGATTCAAATATGTAAATACACACACACACGCCCTTTCGTATTTTCTTTCCTTACATTTTAACAAATCAAGCTTAATCTCCATCATTAGTTGAGCTCAAGCTACATCTTAGACAAAATACATTTATTTTCAATATTTATAAGAGTAAACGACATGTCATATTAACCTGATCATCTATTGTCCCAACTCATTCAACCAGAAATCACCAAAAAACTACAAAACACACACACACATCCATACACATCCACATATACATTCACATGCACATACACACAGACATAGCATGCATAGCCATATACAACACTCAAACTGTTAATATCTGCATTCGAATAGTGAAAAGCTTCAAATAATCTTATAAACACTTTCATTTGAGTTGTCTGTGAAACAAAAAAATATAAATTGAAATAGTATTGGTTGAACGAAATAATAACTGCTTGTCACGCTAGATATTGATAAACTCTTTTGTCAGCGGCACACACTGACTGGCAGTTCGTTTATTCTGTCTCATATTGTTTCAACATCATTTCATTATCTACTCTCAACGACTATCCTTGATCATCCAGAAAAAATAAAGATATTTCTACTGTTTGCAAATGACTTCACGACGACAATCTATGGGTGTCGTACTCCGACAATTAGCAAACAGTATTATTCCTTTAGCTGTACATAAGTCACATACTGATGTAAGTTACTTTCATTTTTACTTATTTGGCATTGTTAGTATTTAAGATGTCTTTAACCTTCACTTCATCACGATTGTTTTCCTTTCTTCAAATTTCCCGCCAAATTTGAATAATAGCTTCACGTGTTTCCGAAACCCATGAACATATCATTTACGTGAAGAATGATTGCAAACCCGGCTGTGCCATTCAACTTAATATCTCTTTCTCTCTCTCTCTCTTTCTCTCTCTCCTTCTCTCTCTAAATCACATTAATCTTTATTAATATTTTTCATATATATAATATATAGCGCCTAGAGGTTTTGCACATGTTTTTCCTTATTTTTTTTTCTTTCCATTTTCATTGTTGTTAAAGCCGATGAACATAGGATCTCTAATTCTGTTTTTGGGCTTTTATCTAATTGTTTCGCCACGTTATATAAGTTTTCTTAACACTTTAAGGTTGTTATAAACCTAATTAGATTGATTTTTCTGCTTCGACCTCCCTCATATACTTCTTGTTCTCATACATATACATTCCAAGTCTGGCAATCCCGTTGTTCCATGTTTTGAAACATACATGCACCTATACGATACTCTCAATGATATGAGATTGTTGAACAGTAACACTTGTTTCAAAGTTTGTGATACAAGAACACCTGTCAATCTAGCATTCAATATCCATATTGTTATGTTAGATGTCTGCAAAACGAAAAAAATAATAAAAGAAATGAGGAATACTCCAAAGAATGAAAAATGGTTTCGTATTTCGAATGGAAGACGTATAACGTCTCTGAACTGAAAAGTTCATGGAAATATTCGTTTTCCAAATATTTAGAGTGAAATCCTGCAAAAATTGAATGAGAGAGTGTGATAGAGAGGGAGAGTGAGAGAGAAGAAGAGGTAGAGAGAGTAAGAGAGAGGGAGAGAGTTAAAAAAATAAAAGAAATATTAAAATAATATCAAATGTTGCTCTTCCGTTTGTATGGAAAACATAAGGTAGACATTTGGTATTCTAATGAAAGCGGTAGTAGTAGCAGCAGCAATTGAAATGAAAACATCGAAATGAAAGAAAAAAACATTTTGTTCTTCGAAAATCACTCTCTCTATCTCTCTCCCTATCTGGATCTCTTTCTATCTTTTCTTAAAATCTTAAAGTATACTTGGTATACATGATGTTGAATAGTTCAAAGTTTGAACTCCAGATGAAGAGAGTGTGTTGTTACTTTTAACTTCTTTTTGCTACAAACGTTGGCTAATTAATTTCAATTTGTGCATCGAAGAGCCTAATTGAGACATCGTTTTTAATTAAGGAATATGTTGTTTCTCTTTAAAACTTCTACGGCAACAACTGCCGTTGACGGTGTTGAAAAGCTCTCTTTGACATTTCTTCTTTGCTGCTACTCTCTCTCTCTCTCTCTATCTCATACATTCTCTTCTTTGCATAAGAGAGTGTGACTGAAGTTAAGCATTCATATTCTAATATCCTCAACGAACTTTTCCGTGTTTGGAAAAGAAATCCTTTTCTTGTAACAATGCGCCTCATATCTGTAAGTTCTTTCAATTTCCATTCATTCAATTTTCAAGCTTTCAAGCTTTCAACGGTTTTTCTTTTTGACTGAAACATATTCATTTTGGATCAAATTCTATGGAAACACCCGAAATGCGGAGGTTTTCAATTACAAAAAAGCCAGCAATAGTTTTATGTCATCACATTTTCTCACTTTTTATTTGAATCCATGAGATGGCAAGTCATCAGCAAGCTCCGAAATATTCTTCGCCTCTTACCGCACAATGTCCATTATCATCTGCTATAAAAGACGTTTTGGTGAATTTTTTTTGTTCCTGCTAACAACACAAGATTCGCTTCTAAAATTAAATTCCTGAAAAAGCTTTAAAAAAAAAAACAGAAAAAAAAGAAAATTGCAAAAATAGAATGTTTGGAGAGTGACTTAAACGTTTTTTTTCAGATGCCAACTACTCAACTCAACATCGTTCTGACAGATCCTAGGGTTGTTGCTGGGGAATATCTTCAAGCTAAAGTTTGATTCATTTACGTGAACATGAAAAACAAATAAACTTCATATTAGGTTTTGCTTGACTCCGCTGATCCGGACACCATTATTCATTCGCTTGTAGCTGAAGTCAAAGGGGTCGGAAGAACTGGATGGGTAAACATACATACGGACAAAATATTTGAAACTGAAAAAGTACGATATAGGTTATCTCAAGGTTATCATATATGGTTTTAGGTTTATTTGAATCTTCAACTATCATTATGTCCTGATGGTGTATCCATCCCCGTAGGCAAACATCAGTTCCCTCTTCAAGTATTCCGGAAATTATAATTATTGAAAATCAAGATTTTTAAAATGCAGATTCAACTTCCTGATCATCTTCCTAGCAGCTATGAAAGTCAATTTGGAACAGTGAGATATCAAGTTAAAGTCACGCTTTCAGCTAATTCAGAGCAGGTAATCACGAGCTTTACATTCGAGACTAGTTGTTGACATTGTTTGATCTTAAAGTTCACTCATCAATCTACTTTGAACATATGAAATGAAAGCATGATGAACCAAATAAAGGGAAACTAAAGCAATCTCATCGAAGGAGTCTATCGAAGTTATGGCCAACCGTTCATAGCGTACACAAATTAATAAACTATAGCGTCATTCCACGTGCGTGCAATCGAGACGTGAACACCATTATGCAAATTCAAATTTAATTTTCTTTTCAAATAATTTCGAACTACTTATCCAGTTGTAGCTAACTTGATTTACGGATTATTTTTGATATTTTCAATTCTTTACAAATTAATTCAGTGCTTCATAAATAGGAATCTTCAATGTTTTCGCAAATTTTTTTATTTTTAGGCTTGCTGCTCAGAAGTGTTTCCGCTTGTGCTTCTTGCCCGTTCATTCTTTGACGATATTCCTTTCAACGTATTATCACCGATAGATTTCAAAGACGAAGTGAGTTGGTTTTCATATTTATATGTAAATTTTAATGATTCAGGTAGACTTTACGTGTTGCACACTACCGTTTGGATGTGTGTCAATCCTCATTTCATTAGCTCGAACAGCCTTCTTACTAGGAGAAGTAAGATACTCACTTCATATGTTATTCAAAACTGTCTGTGATTTCAGAATATTGACGTGCAAGTAGCTATTAATAATCGAACACGGAAGTGTTTGAAAGAATGTTCCTTAACACTAACAATGAAAACACAGTTTGAAGCAATGAGCCGGTTAGCTGAACTTTCATGTAACTATACTAACTATATGAAATCTCCAGATACGAACATGTAAACGAGAAAAAGTTAAGTGAACAGTTGTTGGAAATTGTTCCCCTGGGCTCTGTACGAGCGAGAAGCAAAATAGTTAGTTTGATATCATTGTTTCTTAATTACTGATAGCCTTTGCAAGGTTTTCGAGAAATGCCTTGTGAAGATTCCTGATGCTGCCCCACCCACTCAGAACTATAACTTAGGAGGTGGAGAGACAGCTATTATTGCAATACATTATGTTTTAAAGTTGACTGCGCTTCCTGGTTAGTATGCAACGAGTCTTATTATATTTCAAGTACGTTTAGGAATAGAATGTGAAGTTCCAATTATTGTAACTACACGAGGATATAAAGATAAATCGAAACAAGCAGCTTTTCTCATACATAACAACAACAAGCAACGGCTTCAGGCTCAGAATAGAGCGCAAAATATGGTGGATAACTATGCTGTATGATTTCATCAATTGTACAATTGATTGTAAATATCTTTCATTCTTTATCTTCTCAGAAGAGAATTGTTATACACTTGTGTTGATCTCATTCGCATTCTGCATATTGAACAGTAAGCATCTTTCCTACGTGCAGCTGTATTCATTACCTTCCTCATTCTAGGCCTTATTGACTTGTGTGAATATATAATGTTCTTCCATTTTTCAATAATTTCATATAAATTTCTAAAATTCTATGTCATTGTTCTGAAAAAATTATGAAATGAAATTAATTTTTGATGTGACCAGCATTTGCAGCTTGTAGCCGATTGGAGGTTTATCGATCCTCAGGTAATCTTCTTAAAGACGCATCAATGAACGTCTTGCGCTTCTTCAATTTGATTAATGTAATGAAGATGTCGAAATAGTAAGTACACCTGCAGTAGATGATGAAGAAGCATACATGTCTAAAGAGATACTAGCTGCATGCTGCTTCGATGATCACATGACTATAAAAATTGCCGACGTTTTTCAGCCAGTGAGCCAATAGACTTTTCCGCATCGAATTCATACTGACTCAATGAGATATGATGGCATCATTCTTTTGATTTTATTACTTCTTATCACTAACTATCGTTCTGAAAGTACTTGCACAATGTTTCTTATTCTATAACCATTATAAAAGGAAAAGTGTGAGAGAAAGATAGAGAGATTGAGAGAAAGAGAGAGAGAGAGGGAATTGTTGTTTGCCTTGGTGAACAATGATTTGAACGTATGGAATTGAAAACAGTTCGAGTTCAGAAAAAGTTTGATCACAGATTTAGTCATTATCCTTTCATTTATAGTACTTGAACCACCCATTCATAGATCGCTTCTACATATGGACATATGTTTCTTCACTTTTAGTTTGTAATAATCTGTTGGTGAAAGAACGAAAGCAGATTAGATGAAAAGATACTCAATTCATCCTCTTTATCCCTTTTTCTGTTCTCGATTTATGACTTTCATGAATCGTCTGATCATAATGCGAATATTCCATTTAGGTTCGCCTATCAAGATGAAACACCTTTCAAGATTATGTCTGTCACAAAATAAAATAAAAAACAGTTGTCGTTCGATAACCTAATTCTCGAATTCCAATATTCATTATTTGTTGAGCAAATAGAATGAGAAGCATGCTTCATCATACATCCTTTCTGTGAAGTTAAACGATTTTAGCACTTGGATGCTTAGGCTTCTCATTACTCTTTGTCTGTCTTTTTCTGTTTTTTATTCTCGCATTCAACGCTTTCTGATTTCTTTAAATCCCTCTCTCTCTCTATCTCTCATCCATTTTCAATGCCATGTTTCTCATAATTCTCACTCAATCTACAACATCCAGCGTGTCTCTTTCTCCGTTTTGCGTGTCTTTTGTCTGTCTCTCCAATCTCAAACCCACTGCACTGTTATATTTCACTTGACATCTTCGCATTCTCGCATCGAATCCTTATTTCAATTGTACATAGGGGTAGCACAGTCTTCATGTTGAACTTATCGATTTAAACTGTCTGGAAATGTCTCAACTAGGTAGTGTGATTCATATGTATATGTCTATTTGAACGTCCTTTTTTTGTTTTCTCTGTCAGCTTATCAGTTTTCTTGTTAAGATTTTGACTTTGTATTTTTTGATTCCATGTTTTGATTGGCAGACTGCCTTCTTAAAGAACATCTCTTACTAAAGAATCACAGCCCGGTTAGCTCAGTCGGTAGAGCACCAGACTCTTAATCTGGCTGTCGCGGGTTCGAGCCCCGCATCGGGCTTCACTTTTTAATCTTCCAGACTTAATATCTGTTTCATTATTTCAAATTGATTTTTTTGGCCGAAATTAAATTTCCGACCTAAAAGTACCATCATATTAGACGATTTTGAGGCTCTCTCTCATTCATGTGTAGTTTGTTGTTCCGAGAGGAATTAGTTCCTTTTAGATGTTGAGATCGATCATCTGGTTGTTAAATGGGTAGATATAGGAACATCTTGGCTAAAATAGAGACTGGTTTCATTGATTAAATCTGTATCAGCTTGCAAGATTTCAAGTCATTTTCTCATCTTTTCTTCCTTATTCTGTTTATATTCTAACGGAAAAGAAACTTATTGACGCTTATTTTCTTAATCGTATTAGATTCGATATTGTTCACAACAGTTTAATAGGATATGTGTTGCTTATGTTCTTTCACTTCATTATACGCCAATAACCCCTGATTGTGTATCAAATCAGAGTAGCTCAGAACACAGGTTTCTTCTAGTTTTGGGTAAGTGTGCTTCCGTAGCGCAGTAGGCAGCGCGTCAGTCTCATAATCTGAAGGTCGTGAGTTCGAGCCTCACCGGGAGCAATGTTTTTCATGTTAAACTTCTTTTACTTTTTTATCAATTTGTGTTTATACACCTCTTTTACCTTGATGCTTAGTATGTTCATCATTTCGTGCATGCTGAATATCGTTTGATTAGTAATGTTTGTGATACAACCTGTTTTACTTACTTGTGTTGTATATGAACTTGAATTTAAAAACCAGAACTTTTATGGTCGTTTGTTTCAGTGCGTCAACGAAGTGAAGACAATCTTGCGGTTACTCAAATTGGAACATAGCTTGCTATGTTGAAAAGACCAGGTGAACACGGTGAACCGCATGCAAAGAAGCTATGGTCGAAGTAAGGGATTCGGTTTTAAATAACCTCAATTATACTTTTCAGATCTGAGGCTAGAATTTGGACTATTACATTGTTTAGTGGGACATGCATGTTGTATGCCTCTCGTGTAGCTTTACCTATAAGTGTTGCTCAAGTTAGTAAAGAGTTCGGATGGACTAAAACAGATTCGGTATGATATAATTCCGTTTCACAATCAATATGTATATCGCTCTTTAGGGAACTTTTTTATCTTGTTTTTTCTGGGGATATGCACTAACACAAATATTTGCGGGTAGTTTTGCTGATGGGATAGGGGGAGAAAAAGTTTGTGAAAATCATTCAATTGAATAGTAAAAGAACTTTATCTAGATTTTGCCATACAATACACTTTGCTGGACGCTCTTAACATTTTTCACACCACAATTATTTGAGTTTGCTTACTGGAGCGGAATCCCTGTGATGTTTATCGTTCTAATTCGTGTTTCAACCGGGATCGGTCAGGGTATAGAGAAAAGAATAGCAAGCTTATCGATGAACCGATACTTTCTCAGGTTTTCACCTGCCGTCAGTTGCTTCCTTGATTTCTCAACACTTGACTTCATCGGATAAAGGCAGAGTATTTGGTATTGTTCTTGCTGGATCTCACTGCGGGTTAGTAAAGAAGCAACATTCATTATAAAGTGTTCCTCATTAAGGACAGTGTTAGCTGGATCGTTCGGTTCATACCTCCTTGACAAGTTTGGGTGGAGGGCTGTTTTTCAATTTTTCGGAATCATATCTCTAATGTGGTACTACTGGCTGAGTCATTTTTTGAAAAAGTTTGAACGCCCCACACCTCATCTGCCCAGTGATCAGGAGCATCTCATTTCAAAAAGAGTATCAAAAAACCTGTTAAGCCATTTGAATATTTGCTTTCAAGGGTACTAGTTTCTATTCGACCATAAACAATACAAAAGTTCCATGGAGGACATTATTCCGTCATCCCGGTTTTTGGTATGTTCAGCTGCATCCAAATGTCCGCATGAACACTCTGACTCTATTTTTACAGGGCAGCAGCTGTAGCGCAATACACTGGAGGGAATGCTTATTTCACGATGTTCAATTGGCTACCAAGCTATTTCCATGAAGAATTCCCAACAGCATCGGTAAAAAATGGGAAGAAATCGGTTTTATTGAAATTTGTTTGATAGGGAGTCATTTACAACGTAGTTCCTTCATTAGCCATTGTTTTGACATCCATGGTTGCTCCATATATGGCAGTTAAGCTTCTTTCGAGTGGCCATTCTGTTACATCTACTCGTAGAATTATGGAGGTACATATATACTCATTGTAAACGTATTTCATTGTTGATGTTCACAGGGTCTATCTTTAATTGGTGTGGCAATTTGTCTTTTTATTGTTCCGGGAGCACATTCGTTCCTAGCAGCTCTTCTGATGTTCACTCTAGCCATGGCGTCTCGCGGATTACATCATGGTGGTGTATCTGTCAACCCACATGATTTTGCTCCACATCACACTGGCTCAGTCTTCGGGATCTTCAACGCCTGCGGTGCAATTACCGGATTTATTGGGGTTTATGTAGCTGGACATATACTGGAAGCAACTGACAATAATTGGTCATACGTTTTCATAGTCACGGGATTACAGTGTATATTCGGAGCCGCAGTGTACGGCTTGTTTGGAACGGGTAACAAAATTATATAAAACGCATTCTATGATCTATAAGATGTACGTGTCCTTGTAAGAAGACTTCAAGTCAACAGCTCGAAATACAATACGACGAAAGTAAAGCCTATGAGGCTGTGAGTGTGAAATGAAAAGAAAAACGTTTAGGTGTAGATTTTATGTATTAATAGCCTTTGTTATTGGCTTCACGGGATAAGAATAATTAAACTTTCCACAATGTCTTTGATCTGAATATCATAATTCCGTATGTCAAGCATGATCATGTGTTACGGAACACTTTGTATTTTGTTTTATTTGTTGAATTAATGTATTGAAGATATATAAAAAATAATAAATGATTTATTTTGAATATGTTTCTATAGAATCTCATCCTCTGCGTCTTGTAAACTGAAAAAAACTGTTTTGTATTAGCAGAAGCTTGAAATAGACAAAACTCACATCTCCAGATTGAACTTTAATAATCTCATTGCCCATTTCCTTTATAAGATGGTCCATGTAGAAGGACCATTCTCCATAGTCGACAACTTCTTCCAATACAATCTTCTGCAACTAGAATGATTCAAATCATAATGCTTATACTTGCTTACAATTTTGAAAGTATAATGAAGCTGCACTTCAAGCTGTGATAGTCTTTTGGCACAATCAGCTTTCTCTCGCTTTGCTATTCTAGCTAAGTCTCTTTCTGATAAGGAGAAGTCGCGTATAAGACAATTGAGCTGAAACGTAAGAATGAGAATGTAAAAAATAAAATATTTAACTATCTACATGAACTATCTCCCAAACAACGTCATCAATCTGTTGTTTAATGTTACTGACGCCATAACATGCTAATTGAAAATAAAAATGTTTCCATGTGTTCATCAAATTTTGAAAATGTGGAGTATAGTGCTGCACAGAAGACATGATAGTATGAAAGCGGAGGACAATCTATGGCAGAATCGAATAACTAAGTTCATATACGAGAACTGTTTCTATAAACTATTATAAGGTTCATAAAACAGTCATGTCAGTACCTCAGGTTATGGCTCGATACTCATATAAGATAAAACAACACTGATTATAGGTTATAACCTATGCTATGACCACGGGTTATATGTATAAAACATTCAGAACACGATTATTCTGCCGACTCCGGTCGTTGTACATGTTTCAATAGCTTTGATATCAAATGGTTTTGTTCTATAGCATATTGAACCCTATAATGAGTTCACAACATTCGACAGGTATCTTTCAACGTACAATGATAGAGATGACTTGAGGAACTCTAGTAAACGAGGCTGTTTCAATATTCTATGTATTTGAGTTGCATTCAATCTTTGAAATTCATAGTTCGTCTCATTATCCACGAGCAAAGGACTGTAAACGTATACTGCTACTGAACTGATAAGTTAAAGAACAAACCAGTTGCTACAACTTTTGTCTCCTTTCTCAATTCGTGTTTCAACACCACGATCAGCTATCTGGCGTGGTAGTGGTAGATCATTTGATGTAGATCAAAAATGAATTTGTCAGATCATTATTCAAATACATCGTTTACCTTAAAAAACAGTTTGGTAGTTCGCAATCTTCCTTCATAACGTTTTTGGATGGAACGTCGTTATCACACTAGAAATTCAAAGAAAAACAACCGCTTGCATTACTGCTATCATCAATAATGAAACGACAACAGAGCTATCTTCGCGTATTTACGTGAGTTCACGTAGTTTGTTGTGAACTGACGAGTCTTATTCTAATCGTTTGACACAACAATCTTAAGTGAATAAAGAGAGCTATGAAAGTATTTCCACTTGAATGTCAACAACCATTTCCTGTAGTTGAGCTAGTGAAGTGAATGAATGTACCCTAACGTAAAGGCACTAGATGACCTTTCGTTATAAGAACGCAATGTTGCACCTTACAAAATTACTCATTATTCAAGTTTCATGTCGGAACACATTGTAAAGACCATTCTCTCCAGAGAGTAACTCAAAAGAAGGAGTTTCGAAAAAAAAATTGTTTTGGAGTGTGCAGGGGTAAAATATATCACACAGCTTGAAGGTTCATAGAGATCTCGTCGGTTAAGAGCTTTTAAGCATTTTCTTCGTTGTTGGATCCGTTCCGTTAACGAATTCATTAAGAACATATTTTTTATGAAGCATGTGTGAGTGTGTATATGTGTGTGTGTGCCTGCAACTTATATTTACACCTTCAATGTCAAAAATATCCTGATTTTAGTTATATTCTCTTGGCTCCCACTCATTCTCCCCTTCCATTTTCATAGAATTTTAATCTGTTCGTATCATGGGTCAAATCTTTAATATTTCATTCGTATGAAGTTTCATTTTAGAGGTTTACCTTATATGGTTTTTACTACAAAATCAATAATTACAAACGGATCCTGCTCTCTTTCTTCCTCTCTCTTAATCATTTCTTTGTATGTATTTGGATGATTGTTTCTATGTTTGTTGTTACAATCCATAACAAAAGCAATTCTTATAATTTGAAGCTTATTTTACTTTGAAATTCAGGCTAAGAATGTTTTTTATTGTTCGTCATTTGGACGAAATGTGGTTAAGGAATTGTCTTAACTAAGTAGATACTCGGGAGAGAAAGTCTCTTGTGTTAATCATTTTTT